TTAAATGGTTCCAGGATGTCAAGGCAGCCAGGACCGTGCAACTACAAGCACTCATGAAAGAAGATTTCCAGAGCTGCTTAAGAAAGTGGCAAGAACAATAGGGTGAGGGTTCAAAGCACGGGGGATTCTGAGGGGCGATTAATACCAACGTCTTGTACTGTGAGAGATCTCAGCTAAAACACTCCTGTCCTAGATGACAGGCACGCTGCTCTCTGCTGTTTTATTTTTCACATGTTTGAAATACTTTCAAAAATTTAAAGTGTTTCCAAATGAGCAGTACACGCTCTTTCATGTCTGCATAACCTGTGTATTGACTCCTTCCCAGGGCTTCCGGCCAGAGCTATCATCGTAGGCTTACTTGTCTCTTCATCATACTAAACTGTAAACTCCCTGTGTCTTGTTTATGTCTCTGTCCATGTGCAATCGGTACATAGCAGACCCTTGCTGGGTCCTGGAATGACTAAGGCATCTGCTGTGCAGTGAAGCTGTGCCACTCGGCGGCATCGGCAGTTGACAGGTATTGGCAGAAACCTGCAGAGAGGAGAGGAAGAGGTTGCACAGAGAATTTGGCAGAACTCATCTATCCCAGCCTGGGAAGGCGATATGTTGAGGTTTTGATGACCTTGGACCAAGTCAAGGGAACTGGCTCGGCAGCTCTCAGAGAGCGTGATGCACAGTCTCTCAGACAGAGAGAGGAGCCAGCCCTGTGTCACCAGATGACAGTGGCTTTTCCAGGAGAAGCTGAGGAGGCTGATGTGTGTTGAAGGTGATTGGACCGTGGGGACCCTGGACTCACTAGTGGACCCCCCTACTGATGAGTTCATAGCTGCATGCGCCGTCAGGAGGTAGGGCCTGGCTGGAGATGGGACACCAAGGCAGGACCCGAAAGGATCTGTTCTTTCTCCAGCTCCTCCCTTCTCTTCCTGTTTCCTTGCCACCAGGGCTTGAGCAACTGTCCTCTGCCATGTTGTTTTTGCCTTGGAACCAGCCAACAGTGGACTTAAACTGTGAGCCAAAATCAAACTCTCCTCTTTTAAATTGTATCAGGTATTATGTCTCAGACACAGGAAGTGGCTAAGACAGAGTCCAGCTCGGCTAACCAGAGAGGATGAGAAATTCCTGGACAGGCTAGAGGAACTGAGAGGAAAAGAAATGTATGTGTAAACACAGAGCACACCTGATTTTGATAAACGCATGAGAATCTGGAACAAGAAGGTTGGGATGGGGTTACATGGCAAAGAAAAAGGGGGACCCAGGAGCCCTACATCACCAGAGAGTCTGGATATCTGAATAATGTGAGATGTACTGGCTTATTTATTTGTTTATAAGTATTGATTAAGTACCCACAAGGTGTTTCACAATGCCTGGTGCTGGAAATATGATGCTGAGCAAAATCAGCTGACCGGTTGCTAAAGAAGCTTATGTTAATCACGTGCCTGAAGCCATTTCTCCATCCATGGTCACAGGTGAACTGGAGTGTGTGTACAACCTGTCCTATGCTGCCAGCATGGCACTGTGTCCTTCCTTGCGTAAGGCCAATGCAGACCCCTCTAACACTCTCCCCCACACCACACTTCTTTGCCCTACACTGGCCAGTCCTTCCTTAATAGAGAAAACTGACAGAGGGACAGGAACTAGATCTAGAGTGATACAAACCAAGAAGAAACCATTCCATGATACTCCTGGTCCACAGAAGCTCAAATGCACAGGGGTCACGCTGGATCCTCTTCATTCTAAAAGGATAGCACGAGCAGGGCCTAAAGGAAGCTTCTAGAAGGTCCTTCTGAAAGAGGGCAGATGCACGACTGGTCCACAGACATCTTTAGAGCATGATACTGCTCTGGTGCATCCCCAGCAGAACTCATGCTGAGGTTTAATTGCCTCATGCACGATGGCACAGAATGCTGGTGAGGCCCTTGAGATGTGCTGGGTAGTGACCGTACCACCCTTAACAAGGGATTAATGTATCTCTCATGAGAATGGATTAGTTATCATGAAAGTCAGGTTATCATAAACTAGATCAGCTTCTGTTTTTCTTCCTTTGCTTCCTCTCTGTCATGGGGGTCAAGAAGGGGAGAGAGGTGGGAGGAGCAGAGGAGGGAGATAAACCCTTCCAGGTCCTACGTGGCCCAAGGTGGCCCAAGAGACCTGCCTTTTCTGGCCACATCTCTGTCTCCTAACAGCAAGGCAGCGATAAGCCCTCATGATCCAAAAGTCCCTCCACTCAACATAGGAGCCACTTGGCGAACGTTCTAGATCTGAATCATAGCACACCCGCTGTGTGATCTCTTCTACACACAGACTTCCTCTTCTGCTTTTATGCCATATGTAGAGCAACACACGGGCTTCACCTTAGCCAAGCTGATGCCAGCACAATGCTCTTGCACCTCCAAAACTGTGAGCTAAATAAATCTCTTTTCTTTATAAATAATCTAGGCGTGGGGGTTTTGTTATAGCATCGGAAAATGAACTGCAACATAATCTTTTCACCTGAGGTATCTAGGGAGAATCAAACTTTGCCAGCTGCTTTGTATCATGCCCTGAGGTGCGCGCGCGCGCACACACACACACACACACACACACACACACACACACACACACAGCTCAGTCATCCTCCACTTCTTGGGAATTCTTGCTAGTTTCTTGTTTTGAAACCACACTTTGTGCTCATTTTTTATTAACCACTTCACTGAAATACAACCCATTTACCTTATAATTCACTCATTTAGGGAGTGCATTCTCACTCTCCTGTTAACTAGGTTCATTTTAGGGGAAGATGAAGGGACTGTCATTTGTTCTGCATGCTCTAATACACTCCTTTGGCTCCCCAAGGACAACCCAGCAGCCACACTTTGACATGCGGAGGGTAGGAGAGAGGACTGTGGGAGGAGAGCACCCTGTCCACACAGTCTCTGTAACCCCCTCCCAGCTCCCTGCCGTGTTGGGAATACAGGCTCCCACTCCAACCTGGAACAAACTTGGGCATTCTGAGGGCCACATCATGGCAATGGCTGGTGTCCGGATCCCAGCCCTCCTGCCTCAGGTCATCGTGCTGGCTGATGGGTGACCCCGGGGAGTTTCCTAAAATGCCCCCCGCAGTCATATTTCCTTCTCAGGATTCAGTAGGTCTGAGGTGAGCCCAGGCATCTTTATATTTACAAAGCACCCAGTCCTTCAGTGAATCCCTACAATTCTGCACTGGTTCTCATGTCCACCACTCCGAGAGAAGTGTGACTATGCCAGTGGCTATCAAGCTTGAGGGTGCGTCAGAATCACTGGGATCTTGTGTCTGTGCCCAGCTTCAGAGTTTCTGGCTGCATGGCCCAGAATGTGCATTTCTAGTGAGTTGAGAGACCAGACTTGGAGAGCTGTTTTGCTAGAGGGTTGGCCTGCCTCCCTGGAAGCCCTACAAGGTGGGAAGAATAGAAGCTCTCTGCTCCAGTTCTTAGCCCTGTCTGCAAGGAGAATCATTGCTAAGCTTCTAAAATCTCTCTGCTCAGACTGCATCCCAGACTGCCTTAGTCATTTTCTCATCACAGGGAGGAAAATACTCAACACTCACAACGCAAAGGAGAAGGGATTGATGTTGGCTCTCAGTTTGTAGAGGTTTTAGTTTGTAGTCAGCTGTTTCTTCCAGATTGGGCAGGAGAAGTCACAAGCATGGTTTTCTAACTGCAGTATTTCAAACATTCATTTGAAAGGAAAAGTCTTTGAAATGCACTTATCTGATGAATTTTGAAACATTCCAGTAAGGCCTAACGGTATGTTCACACCTTAAGAGAGAAAGCTTTTTGTTTCTTTAATCTTGGATATTAATTCCAGTTGGGGTTAATGTTGAGCTATGTGTGTTAAGTTTCATTGTCACCATCTCTGTGTGCCAGGAGCCAGTGCAGGTGTCTTTTCCACAGTCTTCTGTGAGCTATTTGTTGTGCAGAAAGTTCCTGGGATAAGTAATCCACAAGAATGAGTATTTGTAAGATTTTTTTTAAAAAAAATCTTAAAATGTAGATCAGAGAAGGTAAAATGTAAGTCATTATCTCACTGGGATTTGCCAGAGGCCCCTTTAATAGCGAAATATCAAGGAAGATGTGCTTTATGTCTAGAATGTTCCATTTTTAGAATTTTTAAACAATAACAAATACTGACTTCACTTTGAGAAGGTTTGCAGCTGTAAAGCAGGGTACTCCAAGAGAGCTTACCTAATTCGAAACCCAGAGTTTTGGCTAAGGACAAGACATTTAGGGGGGAAAAAATATGAGATCTCTCATGGAACTTGGAGATAAGAGGCCAAAGTCTTGGTTTTCTAAATTCAGGCAGGATTTCAGCTCGTGCCCTTAATCAAGCCATTTCACAAGTTTAAAAGTCTATTATTTGTTTGTTTGTTTATTTTCTTTTTGATGGTGGTGGTAGTACCAGGGACTGAACCACATCCCTAGACCTCTTTTTATTCTTCATTTTGGGATGGGGTCTCGCTACGCTGCTAAGTGACCCAGGCTGAGAGTAATCGTCCTGGGTCTTGGGGTTTCAGGTGTGCCCCACCACGCCCAGCTCACCTCACTGATTAGTGCCTTTGTTTTTCTTATCTACACAAGTGAGTGGTATCTTTTTTCATTCTCCAGGGAGCTCAAATAACATTAAGGATTCCAGATGCTTAAGTGAAAGTTACACAGTGGTTGAATGCTAATGTGGGGAGGAATTTGGCAAATGGTCCCCCAAAACGATGACACCATTAGCTTGAGTGTCTGCAAAGTTTGCTTAATTACCAAGCCTGCCCCCCAGCCGGAAGATGATTCCTGTTTCTCGCCGTATGCTCCATCATTCTGGTTTCTCCAGTGTCCATCACTTCCCTCTGCATGGCAGGCTCCCTGGCCACCTCTCACCTACTGCCTCCCAGTGACACTAAACTGTCACCAAATAGCTCAGGCTGTCCTGGAAGGTCACAGGCACAAGCCTACAGCCCACTGGCAAATCAAAGCACACGTAATGAACCGAATCCCTCATCAAAAGAAAAGAAAAAACTTTTATTTTTTCTATTGCATAAATAATGGTAAATTAGACTCTTTTTTTTATACAGGTTATATATTTACACACAAGTTTGGTTAGAGAAAACCTCTGGTAAATATGGCAGTCAGTTTTCCTTTATACACTAAGATAACATATTAATAATATATACTTCTTTTGATCCATAAGTCGCATGCCAAGGTCATTTATATTAATATTTACACTTTATATAAAGATTTTTGACTCATCAGTCTGCTGACTTTCATCACTTAATAGCGACATCATCAATGAATATGGAATTAAAATTTTTAAAAAAGGAACATGAATGAGGTAAATGGGAAGATTGTGATCCGTGATTTCAGTCTTCGTGGCCCGTTCTGGATATGAGAGCTGCCAAGCTCTGACCATGCTGGTCGCCATAGTCCTAATCTGTGCTTCTATTTACACCCACACTTTGGTGGCTAGGATCCCAGGCATTTACTACTGTGCTTTGAGAAACCACTCATACCTTTGGTCCAGTGACCTCTGTGTCCACAGGGACCTTCCCGTCCCATGCCTCTCAAGAGCGGACAGCGTGCCAACACTCTGCCTGACCAGACCTCTGGGTCTCAGCTCCCTCCAAGGTCACTGTCTTTGGTTAGACCTCAGAGAAATGGCTTCTTCTGCATTCAGAACTAGGAAAGAATCAACTTCCACTAACAAGCCACCTAAGGACCCCTAAAATCTTATTCTCAGAGAAGAACTTGATACTCCTTGATTTTCCTTGGGGGAAGTCAGAAGACAAGCTCTGCAGCTACAACCTCTTTCCTGAACTTGCACCAGGAGCTCGCAGAGTCCTTTCCTGGGTCAATCTAGTCTTCCCAGGGAAGCACAGCAGGATTTGCTGTATGGACGACTGCAACCTCAGCCTGCTTTAGAAGGGGGGCTTCGGGTTTGATATTGACATCGGACAGAGGGGCCGGAGATGCTGTCTTGTGGGTCCCCCAGATGCTCCATTCCTGTGCTGGGTCCCTATCCAGAGCTGGGTCGCAGCTAAAGCAGGAGCCTGTGCCCAGCACCACTGATTAGCCACCCAAGGGACCAGCACAGCAACTGCCAGTCTAATTCCTGACAATCACCAGAGGTCTTGAATTTCTCCCCTCTCCAGTGTTATAGATAATTACAAACCTCTATCGCATCTACTGGAATTGCTGTTCTGGTGACCAGAAAGGAAAAAAAAGGGAAGGAAATGACTGGAAATTGTGCTCTTTATTCAGTAGCTTCCAGTCAGGCATCCCGGATGGAGAAACCAAGCCTCTTTTCTTGGAACTGGTTTTGTTTCTCTCTTTACTCATGAATTTGGATTCACGGGACCTGTTTGGGCTTAGGACACAAAGCCCATTTCTGATGCTGCCTCGAATCAGCAAGTCCTACGGAATAAATAAAACCTCTTGCCTGCATGACATAACACCTTTGACACAAACCAGTTGGTGTTTTGTTTACTCACAATGGACACCAAAAGGGAGACTCTCACAGCTGCCTCTTGGGACTTGCATGAAAAAAGAAGCTGCCAGCCTGGGTTGCAGTTCACGGGGGACATCAAGGCTGTCTCAACAGTAGATGCTCATTCTGACTTTTGTACCAAGCCAAATGCCACAACCGGAGAGCGCTTCTAGTTTATCTTTCCTCTGGCAGACATGAGCAACCCGAGGCCACAGAGAGAAGCCCCTCAGCAGAGCCTAGCTCTTGGGCAAAAGGGTCCTGGTGCCTGGGCCTTTCTTAGGTGATAATGCTGACTGCAACTCGGTTAATCTGCTCAGCTTTCCTGGCCAGCATTCGGCAGATCTCAGAGACCTGGAAAAGCCTTTCTGGACTTGGCAGGTGTCAGCATCTTCCCAGGAAAGGGGGGCTGTCAGCATCCTCTTGAAATGCACAGAGCAAGTCTTTTGCAGGAGGTTGATGGGCAGCCCTGTGCCACTCTATCCCCTGCATGCTCCCAAAGTAGGTCAGAAGCATAGGGCAAGTATTCCAAGACAAGCATCTACCATCTCTTTCAGCTTGCTTTGCTCTCTCGGGTCCAGGCAGGGGGCAATATCATAGTTGATACTTGCACTCCCTAGAATATTCCTTCCTGAGTAGCCTGCTTGGCTATACCACTGGAAAATTCTAGACTCTTACCCTTTTTCACTTGGACAGTACTTCTTCTTCTTCTTCTCCTTCTTCTACTTCTTCTTCTTCTTCTTCTTCTTCTTCTTCTTCTTCTTCTTCTTCTTCTTCTTTCTTCTTTCTTCTTTCTTCTTTCTTCTTTCTTCTTCTCCTTCATTTGGTACCAGGGATTGAACTCACCACCTTGTGCTAGCCAACCAGGCGCTTGTGCCGCTAAGCTAAACCCCCAGCCCAGAAAGTAACTTCTGACAGTGTAAAAAACATTGATCTGAGAGCCAACCCATCTCACCAGAGGTGGATGAGACTCTAAACAGCATTTGGGGGTTCATGGGGTGCCCCATCAGTGGACCACCCGAGACAGGGGTGGGGGTAACAGGCTAAGCTTTTTCCAGATATCGAGAAACATCTTTGTGGGACTGGAAAAACCTGATTCTTGGTGGTGCACTTCAAGCCAACTGAACCAAATTAATTTTGTCTTGAAGACTTTCTGAGCATTAGCTTGTGTTCCTTGAGGCCATGGGAAGTGAATCCCAAGCCAGTGTTAAGTAGAAACCATCACTATTAAAACCTGCATCCGTAATGAGTGTAAGACACTAAGAGAAAACCTAAGCTGGTTCATACACGCGACCGTCAAACCAACTGTCTCTGGCAAGGCCACATCGCCGAGGACAGTCCCCTGAATGACTAAGTCAAAGCAGAGTGAGGCTGAATAGTTCTGACATTTAAATTATCATGAAGACAGTGTCCATAAGAAGCAGCCCAAATCCTCCTCTATTTTGCCATCACTATAAATAATTCAAATTGAAAACCCTAGCTGCCAAATAATACCTCCTGTCTACTTCTGATAGATCTTTCCCTCTGGGGGAGCTGGGCAGCCAGCTGTAAGGGGGGATGGCCAGAGCAAGGCCTTCAGAGCTCAGCTTTGGCCTCCTGGCCATCACTGAAGTGGCCAGTGAGAAAGGTCATTTCAGATAGATGTTCTCTAGGGAACGTCCTCCTGTAGTCCAAGCAAAACGACCAGCATGTGCCACAGTCTCAAAGCTTAGTCTCGGTGTGTCTGCACCATCATGGCATTGTATAAAAAAGGACTGCTTCTTGCTGGGTAAAATAATACATCTATTGTGGGTCTTGGGAGCAACAGTCAGTGCAACAGAATGACCCAATGTGGTTTGGGGCATCCAGGGAGGAGCTGAGCTCAGCAGCTTCTGCAAGGGTAGTGACTGAGACACAGCAGAAGGGGACTCTAGGCATGCAGCTGCCAAGGTAGCACAGCCCGACTCAGGGAGAGCCGCACCCCTCTTCTTCTGGCTGTGCCCTCCTACTGCCCCCTCCCCAGCTACCCTTCCAGTGAAGAACAATGTGCAAAACTCTCTTTGATTCATGACCTGAGTCTGGACTTAAGCCTAGTAGATATAACTTGGATCCATCACTTAGGGCTCTCACTTTACAATCCAGTGGCTGAGAGGTGGGTGGAGCATTCTTATCAAAATGAGCTACCCATCTTTCAGGAGGCTCTTTTGGGTACCCACAAGAAAGGGGGCCACTTGTCATGTAAAATCTGAGACAGGAGCAGGCAGGGAGACAGAAGACTAAGCAAGCGTACATCTTCCTCTCGGCCAATATAACACCCAGAAAGAAAGTCTGCTACCACCAAGCCCGCCTGAGACCACAAGGAAATCTCAGTTCACTTAAGTTCACATTGCTGGCTTCTCAACAGGCAAACAGATGCTTTTAAAGATTGGAAGCTTAAAATATTTTTTTGCCTTACAGATGATTTTTTTTTTTTTTTGGCCTTTTTGCTTAGATTTGGGGATTCTTGCTCTGGGAGGTGGGGTGGAGGGACGGGGTGGGGAGATGGCTACCAGGTTTGCACGTAGCTCTGCTTCTGGGGAAATGGAAGAACAAGTTCCCACAGAGGAGGAAACGGCAGAGAAGCCACCTAGAATCTCAGAGGATGATTTCCCTTCCCAGCAGGCTACGAATGCAAGAAGTCAGGCTCCAATCAGGCAGAACCCTAAAGTGTTCTTTAGGAAAATGTTCCCTATTTTTTGTGTGCCTTGGCAAACTCAGGGTGGAATGCAATGGTTGCCATGGTGATATCTTTTTTCCTCCTTCTTCTTACAGATGGGTCACGTGGGACCCACGCACATTCTGGAAGCTACTGCTAATACTTTTGATGCTGGGTCTTGTGTGAGGGCTCTGTCTGCATCGGGACTGGAAGGAGACAGATTTTTTTTTAGGGTTTAAGAAAACCAGGGTCTGTTTCTCTTTTCCTCCCAAATAAAACGTCTTCCTGATCTTCACTGGTATGGTCTGCAGGCAGGGGAAGGGAAACACCTGCTCTTGCAACAAGAACAAACTTAGCTTGCTGTGCCAATCCCTCAGCCACCCGGTGGCTGCCAGCCCTAGAGACTGATTCCAAATTCTGGTCATCGGCAGAACACAAGGATCAGGTGTCTCTCTCCCACTTCCTGCAGAGGTCAACAGTAGCTGCAGCCTTGTGGCCTGCTTTGGTCCTGCAGGGCCAGGACCTTCTGGAATCTTGCTCTCTGAGCCTCAGTTACTGTGACAAGTACACGGCCTCGTGGGGAGGCCGGGCACAGCGTTTGTGTGAACAGAGCTGGGGATGGGGCTGCCTGACTCTGGCTATGTCTAAGACAGCCACATCTTGGAAGCAAGCACAGCAGCTGGGCTCGGAATCACAGCAACAAACAGCCGGGAAGGGAAGTCTGGAATGTCTGGAGCTTAGGCTGTCTCCACGCACTGCCTCTTTCAGCCCCTGGCGCCTCCTGGGAGGTTACCGTGGTGGGAGTCTGACTTCTAGGCCATTAGAAAGCAGAACACCGAGCTGCCACCATGCTCTGTCTCCCTAGGAAAATCCACCAGGATGTGTTCTCCTGGACCTGCTCCCGGCCTGCTTTTCCAGGTCACGGGGAGAGAGGAAAAGGATTCTTTTAAGGGAAGGATGCTCACGTCTTGGTAGGGCACAGGCTGTTGGTGCCTTTCCAGAATTCCTCTTATTCTCCATGCCTGAGCAGTGGCTCAGCTCGCTGCTGAAGAAATCTACTCATACTCTGGAGTGCCCTGTGGGGTCAACATCTCCAGTGGGAGGCAGAGGGACTTGCAAAAAAGTAGTCTTTGAAATACTTAGTTTTCTGCCCTGCTAAGCAGTCTCAGTCCCTTTCCGGGCGGGGTGGGGCGGGGCGGGGGGGTGGAGAGGAGGCTTTAAAGACTTGTCCCTGGGCATCTACCCCATCTCCTCAGGATCTCGCACCCCTGTCCCCAGGAGGATGTGGCTGAGGATCAAGGGTGAGCAATAGGTAGGGAAGTGTTTCCCTGCAGCAGGAAGGGACAAACTGCCCTGGGAAGAAACAACAGAGGAAGTTGTCTAATGGGTGAGTATCAAGCATCTGTTCTAGGTTAGTAATCTGATCCTAAGGGCACTATGAGGCTCAGCCAAAGGAGAGACAAAAAGGACAGGAGTGTGGCAGGGCAGGGCAGGTAAGGGCAAAGGCAGGCTGCTGCCTTCCTTGGCCTGGCCAGAAAAACCAGACTTCAGGTGGCTTTTAGAGGAACTCTCCACGCCCTGGACTCTTGGGAGCTTAGATCCGCTCCCTGCCCATACTATGGCTCAAACCCTAGTTTAACTTGTGCTCATCGCGAATATTTGCACTTTCCCATGCTGGGAAAGTCTCTACAGCTGTCCCCACACTGTACTGCGGGGAAGGCTTGGAGAGGTGAATCGGAAGAAGACCTTACGTGGAGACCTCCCAGCTCCATGTCTAAGAAAGCAGTAAGGGAGAGGCAGAGAGGGAAGGGCTTGAGGACAGGGTAGAGATCACACACTGCACCATAAAACCGACCCACTGCATCAAGAGAGGAAAGATTCTGTCGCCTCAATACTGACAGAAAGGAGGGAAAGGTTAGGGGAGCCTGGAGCGTTAGGGTACAATCAAAAGAAAGGGGCGCGAGATCATTCCATTACAGAAATAAAGACCTGAGCTCAGAAAGTACAAAGGGGGATAATAGCACATCTAGAGATTACTGGCTAATCTGACTATGCAAGCTGGAATTAATAGAGGCGGCTGATATGGTATCTAGGAAACGTCAGGAAATGAAGACTTGGTATGGTTCAGAAATGGACCACTGGATTCAGTTCCCTTCTCCACCAGAAGCATTCTGCAGGTAAGTGCCTGGCCACGCTGGCTAAACGCCTTAGCATCTCTTTCCCCCTCTCTTCATCTTACGAGTCAGTTGCAGAATCTGAATGCCAGAGGATATGTGACAGACAGTAGTTTGATCTTTCTAGCTTCCTGCTTTGGAGTGTGGGAAGACTAACTCACAAAGCAGTCTACGGGATGAGGGAAAGGTGGATGCACATGAACCCTAACTTACAGAGGTGTCTCGCATGGAGTGCTGGGGAGGGGACTCTGGATGTCTGGGGTGTGGGCTGTCAGCCCCCTCACCTCCAGTCTCAGTCTTTTCCCTTCTCCCAGCCTGCCTCACCCTCTGCCAGAAGAAGCAGGGATGGGTGCAGGAGGCAGGACAAGCTTCTATCCAGAGAAAGTGGTTAGAGGAGAAAATGTCACACACGGAGAAGCCAGGTCTCTGTCTATGTATCTCTGTCATAAGATGCCCGTGGTTCTTTTGTCTCGAATGGCAGCACAGTGGGCAAAGCTGGGAGGGAGGCTCTTTGCAGATTCCCAAAATGCTGGTGCGGGAGGGGCTCCAGGAACAGAAAGCCAAGCGCCACAGGAACCGACCGCGAGCGCCCCGACTCTACCAACCAGAATCCCTAGAGAAGGCAGTGAGAACGGAAGCGATGGGGTGCGGCTGCAGACGGCCAGGGTCGCACCCCGCTGAATGGCTTTCCCCTCATGCCTGGGGGGGGGGGGGAGGAAGCCAGGGAGAGATGCACAGTCCCTCTTCTGTAGCAACCCAGAAGCCGGCCTCTAGATGAGGGTCGACCTCAATGTGGGGGAGTTTCTGAGGACCCCCGGGTTGAGGAATGGGGCGTGGGTGGAGGTGAACGCTGCCTCTCTTCTGCACGCTGTCCACACCACCGATACCCCTGGGTGGCCACTGGAATTCTGAGATGAAAATGTTCTTCAAAGTTCCTACTGGCAGATGAAGCAAGAATTCAGAACTCCTGGCTATTTATTGCATTAGGAAACAAAACCATTAAAGCGTTGAAGACAGCCCTTTGATGTCCCTGCCAAGGAGATGAAGTTGGGGCGCGCGATCCGGCTGCACTGCAGCGCTGGGCTCCTTGCTGAGCTGTACCAGGTCTGCCCCGGTCCGAGGTCCAGGTCCGCGGCGGGAGGAGGAAGTCTGCCCGCGGGCCATGCACATGCGCGGTGGGCTGGCGACAGCGCGGCGGCGGCGGGCGGGGGGCGGCTACTCCATGCCACTCCGCAGGATCTGATTGGCTGCGATCAGCATCACGCTTATGATGAAGGCCATGGCGAAGGCGCATATGAGGCTCTTCCGGACGCAGGTCTGTCTGTTCTGCTTCTGGGAATGCACTGAGGGCAGGGAGGGGCATACGGAGGGACAGAGAAAAGAGAAAGATGCGGTGAGACTCGGCTTCACACTGAGCTACAGCCTCCGCCCTTTTTGTTTTGAGCCAGGGTCTCGCTAAGCTGCTAAGTGACTGCTTATCCCCTAGCTCAGGGTTCATTCATTTTCCTCCACAGACCTCATTTATCCTTCTTTACGACAGAGTAGCACTCCGGGCTGTAATTGAACCTGTGATCCTCCCGCCTCAGCCTCCCAGAGTGCTAGGATCACAGGCAAGCACCACCTCTCCCGGCTCACGTCTGACATTCTAGAGACACAAGGACACCTCTAGAGCTGGGGCCCTGGGCCGGCAGCTATTCAGCACCAGAAACTTAGGAAAAAGGCAGAGTCTAAGTCGAGTTTCCTCTGAAGTTTGATAATGGTGACCATGTGGGCTGCGCACAGGAGCTGGGTGAAGATGGGGAGCCCCAAACCCTCTCAGGCGAGGGCGCTGATGTGGCCTCTCCTGAGGTTTCCTTCTCTTCGTCTTTCTATGACACTAGTTCTAGCACCATCATTTTCAAAGCGGTATTTCATTTTTAAATTTTATTTTAGTTTATTTGTACACGTGTGTGGTACACAACATTTACATCCCTCTGTGGAGCTGCTACATGTACCAAACGCTTCCCAGTTCCCTTTCTTCATCCCCTGTGCCTGCATCTCTTCAGCCGCTTCCCCCTGAGAAAGATCTACCCCTGCTGCCCACTATCTTTTATTTTGTCCTATGTTTTACCTGGGTCTCTATTCTGCAGCACTTACACTTGTGTGTCTGACTTATTCCACCTCACATTACGGTCTCTGGGGCATCCACTTTCCTACCAAAGATTCTTTTATCCATCTTTATGACAGAGTAGTACTCCACTGTAAATACCACATTTTCTATTTCTAGGATTTAGCTGTTATGTGTGTGCTGCTATGAACATGGGTGTGTGTGGATCACTGTCATATTACGTGTTTAACTCTTTTGGATAAAGAAGGGGAGCAGCTGGACCAAATGGAATTTCTAGTTTCAGGTTTTTGAGGAAATCTCCAGACTCGCACAGTAGCTGTACCGGTTTACACTCCCTCCAACAGCGCAGAAGGGTTCCTTTCCCCCACGGCTTCACCAGCACTGGTTGCTATCTGATTTCTTGATGACACCATCCTTCCCCTGGGAAGATGGAGCCTCAGTAGCACCATGACTTTTAGAAGACTCATGAGCAATCCTTCCCGGTCTCCATCAAAAGGTGTTCACTGGTGGATTAGTGTCAGGGCCACGAATCAGGGACGGGAAATAGCAGGAGGAGAGATGGTGATGAAGGCTTCTTTCCCAGGCCTGGCTTCTCAGGCGCTGCACTTCTGGGTCAGAATTTGTGTCCTCTCTCTGCTTTTCCTGGGGAACCTCTGCCACGCATGCCACATGGGCGGTTTGTATCACTGAAAGCTCTCAAAAGTTCGCTATCACAGTTTGGGCCCCGCTTGTGTATTTGTGCCCTGGTGGCTTTGAAGCTGCTTACCCCCAAGCTCCTGCCCGCTCCTGCAGCACCAGTATTGGCTGAATTCGGCACAAATGTATTTCTCAGCCCCACTGCAGAATCACTGAAGATGATCTCTGGGAAGGAGGCTTTGAATTTGTAGTTTAATAAGTCCTCTGGGGAATTAGGCAATTTCTAGAACTTCTGATTCAGTAAGTCTGGGTGGGGTTTGAGTTGCTGAGGGCAAGAGAGAAGTGTGTGTGTGTGTGTGTGTGTGTATGTGTGTAAAATGTGGCTGAAATATACATAAATGCTCAAATTAATTACAATAAAAGATGCATTGCCACGAATCTCCTTCGACACCCCGATTTCAAACTCACTTATCCCAGTGTTTACGCAGCCTTCTGAAGGCTGGAAATTTCATGTTGTGAGCATCTTCACAAGGTGCGATCAAAATCCGGTGAATGCTGGTATCTGGCACCATCCACGGAGAGGCGGGCTCAGAGAATCACTGTGCTGTGTCGCATCTGCCTTACTCACTGAGGCTGACGCTGCAACTTTTCTCTCTTCCTCAGAGTCAAAAGGACCATGGAAAGGAAACATTCTGAACTGCCCCAGGACATTGAGGCAGCCAGGAGAGAACCTGCACTGGGGCTCTGACTTATGCACATTCAGGTTGTGAACTGTCACAGGTGGGCTGTGTAAGACTCTCTTTGTTGGCTTATGAATGAATCGGACTTACAAACAGTTCTGTAGCAGAGCTGATTGGAGGGTCAGGGATTTTCCATACCATTAAAGACATTACAGAAAGATGACTTCAGAACTGCTTCCAAAAGTGGCAAGACAGATGGGACAAGCTGTAACAAACTTTTAAAAATTTGAAAATTCATTATATTTTTTTAAAATCACATTGTGGCGGGGGGTAGCTGTTAAAGTGGTCTGGCAGAAGGAAAGGTCAGGTAAATTCACATAGTTTGGAGAACATAAAATGTTTAATCTCAAGTTCAACCTCTCTCCTCACTGCTTATTTATTGACTTTGGTCTTCTTGAGACAGAGTCTCACTATGCAGTTCAGGCTGGCTTTGAACTCACTTTGTAGCCCAGAACTCGCAACAGTCCTCCTGCCTCAGCCTCCCAAATGCCGGGGTTACAGGTGCACCACCTTGACCCTGCCTCCTTGTCGTTTAGTGGCTCCTCTATACCACCCCTTAGAAATAACAGAAGCCCGAAGCCGGCCCTGTATCCAATGGCAAATGAAGCTTCCCCTTAGAGAAGAGGCCCCAAGGCCTTGTCAAGGGATCTCTAAAAATTGCACCTTGTAGGAAGGTGCCCCCCAGCAAGCCACAGTTTGCGGAGGGCAGGTCCCCCAGCCTGCCTCCAAACTTAGTCATTTCTGCCATCATCTGTCTTGTTATCTTTAATTCTTCTGGGTCCGCCAGGCTTGTGCTTCCCTTGGGTGATTTAAAGTACTCTGTGGTTCAATTCTGAACTTGCTGATTAAGTGTGAGTCTTAAATACTTAGCAGAAGGAAGAAAATTTCCGTGGTGCAGAGATGGGCCTCCCTCGGAGGAGTGGGCAGATGTAAATAGATGCCAACTCCCAGGAAGGGAAAAGGAGATAGTGTTGAAGGAGGAGAGGATGAGGGAGAAAATGAGATGAGAATGCGGAAGCGGCAGCTCCTAACACTTTCTGAGGACTGGCTCCTGGTTCTGGGCAGCTCGCCTGCATAGAAATGCTTCCGGAAGTGGTTCAGCACAGCCCATCCTGAGGGCCTGTGCGAAGCATCAGAAAAAAAAAAGAAGAAGAAGAAGAAAGAAGAAGGAAATTGTGTGACTGGGCCGAAGGAGAAAGTTTCTGCTGAAGCCCTTCTTTGTGAAGGACACTCAGGAAACAAGGTTACAAGCAATGGGATTATTCCCCCGGAGGATGGCTGTGCCTTTGATCTAAAAATCCTTCAAAGTAGCAGAAGGGGAGAGACAGGCAGGCAGTGCCTGGAGAATCCAGACCCAGGTCCTAGAAGCAGGGGGAGCCTCTAGCTCATTACTTGCCCATGACAGCTCTGAAAAGGATCCCCCCGCTGGGCTCTGTAAGGCAGTTTCTGTGCCTCTGTAAGAGGGGCTAATTAATGACAACTGGTTTGCTTGGAAGGAACGATTTCAAAATCAATCTGAAGCTGGGTGTGGTGGCGCATGCCTGTAATCCCAGCACTCAGGAGGTTGACTCAGGAGGATAGTTGTGAGTTCCAGAGCAGCCTGGGCTACAAAGTGAGCTCAAGGCCAGCCTGAGCAGCTTAGTGAGACTCTGCCTCAAAAGACCAAACAAAAAACAAAACAAAACAATCAGTCCCAGTGAACGGATCCACTGTAAACTGCTAAAGAAATGCCAGGCTGAAGCTCGCATCTCATAAGGACAGAAGGAGAGCCCTGATTGTTTCCCCCAGAGGCTGCAACCTCTAGCCCAGGGTTGAACTGCTAGGGCCAAACTCCCCAGCTTTGGTGCTTTCTGTCTCCCATCAACTCAGCCGGAACTGCAGCAGTGAAGTTCACCTTTCCTGAGCCTGCTTAGTATGCCTCACCACCCTGCAGCTGGCCCGCCGGTCGCTCCAGCTCCTGAGTGCCGCAGAAGGCCAGGGTGCCTACTCACGGATTCACTCCTCTGTGCCCAGCCCTCCCGGCTGCCCTCCCTGGACCCCCGTTGCCACAGACCAGCAGGACCCTGCCTGCGCTCTGCACGGGAGCCTGGTGTGCACGGAGCAATGTCCAAGGTCACTCTGGCCCTCTCTGCTGGATGTGCCCCAGTCTTCCCTTTTCTTCTGGACCCAGACTGGGCTTTAGTTCCCCATGAAGTTTCTTCCCATCCTCCAGTTCTCGAAAGACACTTCACCTGGTCTGCTCGTCTGCTGTCCGATTCTGTGGGTTTACCTTTTGCAAGATGCCACAGGAATGGCGTCCTTTATCACATGAGGTTTGTGTCTGGCTACTTTCACTTAGCTGAGCGTTTTTGAGGTTCAGTCACACTGTAGCATTTATTTTAGCATTTTATTTCTTTGTGCTGGTACGCCGCAGAGTGTGGGTGGATCACCACTGATTTATCCCTTCATCAGTTCATAGGCATTTGGGTTGTTTTCCTGTTTTGGCTACTGTGACGCTGCTATGAACACCCATGTAAGTTTTTGTGTGGATCCGTGCTGTGCACTCTGTGGGTACAATCCTAAGAGTCAAATTGCTGGGCCACGTGAAAGCTATGTCTAGCCTTTGGAAGAGCTGAGTCCCCTTCTGGATCTTATTGAGCATTATGCTGCTGGCGATTCTGTCGATGAAGTGTGACCAAACAATACAGCAAATGTTTAAATTTTAAAAAAGCTCATTACACTAAAAGGCAGATTGTCGTGAATCCCCTCAATGGACTCCCCCTTGCTTTGAACACACTCAGCTCGTCGTTCTGGCCACTTTCTGGAGCGGCTCTGAGCGCCCTCTTTCCTTGGCAACCTTGAGAGGTGTGGTCAGGACCAC